AAATTGGAGTTGGTGATCCTATGATGGAAAAGAAAGTTCGATCTTGGACTCAGTAGAATTATAAATTTACAACACTAAAGCAGGACGCAGATTTTTTTCCTTTGGTTATTTTAATCACTTTTCCTTTGAGACATTTAAGAAAATATTTTGTTTGAGATAGAACGTTAAAATTTTTATAAATAATATGTTACATGTAATCTGAGATAAATATTACTTTTAGTTTTTTTTTACATGCAAGTTTTATAGTACAATTTTAGGAGTATTCAAGAATTGATAGAGGATACTTAATCCATGATGGCTACACCTCAGCATTTTTGGATATTGTCTCCAGATTGTCAGAGTTTACTAGAACTTTCTCCTGTGGGTTATTTAAAAATGAGTCAAAAGTAGTGTGTTTGCTAGAGAAATACATTGTATTATTTTATGCCAAATATTCACTTTTTTGTCAGTGCTTGTGGTTGACTTCTGTTAGGCTTATTTTCTAAGGTGAAGATAAAGGAAACCTTGCTTTATGTCTCACTAAGTCTTCACTCCATTCTATGGAAGAATCTTATTTTTTTAAAAAAATATAAAATATTATCAAACAAACACAAATGTAAGAAAATAATAGTGTAATGAATCTGGATGCGCCCGATACTCAGCTTCAACAGTTATCAACATTTTGCCACTCTCATTTCATCTAACCCCTCCCCAATTTTATTGGGAAGGATTTTATTGTAATACAGTTTAATTTTAGCATTTTAAAGAATATATCCTGAAACTTTTGAAATCTCTAAATTAACAAATGCCACTATAGTATATAATTTACCCAATAAAAATATGTGGTAAAGTATGTGCATAAAAATTTTAAGTGACTTTTTCACGCCCTTAATGATCTTATAAATATAGAACTCAATTTGTTACTAAGCTATTAAAATAAATTCTGAACGGAGTACTCACTAAAACGGTTTTTCACATTGCTTCGTCTTTCATTCCAGGAAGTGGCAGACTCAGTCATGTTCCACGTCACTACAGAATTTGATATTCCTTTCTTTAACCTATTAAAAACATATGTGTTCTAAGAAACATCACTTTCAGGCTTTTTCATTATCTCTTCATGCCAGCACTAGGCTTGAGTTGACTTTCTTTTGAGGGCCATTTTTTGCAGTTCCTTTTTTAAAAAATCATTTTCCAGAAGTACTGGTTATATGTGTTAAGCGCATGCCAGGATTACAGACTCTTGCAGTTCAACTTCATGCTGCATTAGAAAAATCATGGTCATCATGTGGTGGATCTTTATTGTCTCTTTGGGAGCAGTAACATGTGAATGTCATATCTCTGAATCTCAGCAACAATAATAATTCAAGGAGGAGGAAGGTATGTTCCAAATTAGTGAACAGTAAATTAAAGAATATTTTAAAGAATAGATAATTTATTTTTTTAAGCTTGGTGAATAATGAGTTAGCTTAGTAAATTATTTTTTTAAGGAGAGATCTTGCCAGATCAGTTTTAAATTATTGTGGTAAAAAAATGTACAACATTAAACTTACCATCTCAACCATTTTAAAGTATACAGCTCAGTAGTTTAAGTACATTCATGCTGTTGTACAGCAGATCTCTAGAACTTTTAAATCTTGCAAAACAAACTGTACCCAGTAAACACTATTGCCAGGCCATTTTTAATGGGAAAAAAAAATCATTTGAAGTGAGAAATATTCATTTACATATTAACATTAAGTGTGTTAGTCTCTTTTGTAATTACGTAAAGAATGAATTATGAGGCATTTTCTCCTAATCTGGTTAAGACTGTAAAATTGCTGGTGCTCTTTTATTCTCTTCTCCTTCTCCCAAGTAGCATAAAATTTTACTTAATCTCAGGCTAAGTAATAGTACCACAGATGTCAGTTAAATCTGAAATAATGGGGTTTTGCTATTAAGAACTTTTTATGTGAAACTATGATTCTAGCTCAACAGTTTAACTAGAGTACTTAAATGAAATGAGGTTTGCTGGTTCCTTTCCTTGACTTCCAAACATTATTCTAAGTATTTCTATATCTTTCATGCAGTCTTCCTTATATCATTCAGATTTTCCTTAAGATGTGTCTGTCTTGGGTCCAGATCATCTTTAGGTATCTTTTACCTGATTCTGTCTTTGTTCAGACAAGTATTTATCAAGTACCAGTTAATGTGCACATGCTATTTGCAGGGTCTCTCTACTGTGTACACAGTTGTTACCATCTCAGTTAAATTTCTGTTTTCTAATGAGAAGAATGAACTCATGTAGCCCATGATTTAATAACCGTTTTCCTCCAGATTTATTGAGATATAATTGACATATAGCAGTGCATAAGTTAAAGGAGTACAGCATTATGACTTGACATACATATATTGAAATGGTTACCACAGCAAGTTTAGTTAATATCCATCATCTCATACAGATACCAAAAAAAGAAAAAAAACCCTTTTTTTCTTATGATGAGAACTCTTGGGATTTACTTTCTTAATAACTTTCAAATATACAGTAGTGTTAACTATAGTCACCATGCTGTACATTACATCCCAGGTCTTAGAACTGGAAGCTTGTACCTTTTGACTGACCACATTCATCCAGTTTTCCCACTCCCTACCCACCCCCACCTCTGTTGACCACAAATCTGATCTCTTTTTTTTATGAATATGGGTTTTTTTGTTTGTTTTTGTTTGTTTTATTTTTGTTTTTAGATTCCAAATATAAGTGAGCTAATACAGTATTTGTCTTTCTCTTACAGACTCATTTCACTTAGCATAATGACTTCAAGGTTCATCTATGTAGCCGCAAATGGCAGGATTTTCTCCTTTTTATGGCTGAATAATAGTGCACTGTAGATTAACAGCAGTTTATTGAAAACCTATTACTGTATGTGAAGTAAGTTTTCTTAGGTTTTAGGACTAAAGTTTTGATGCTATCCTCCTCCTACAACTTAAGACTTTTTTAATTTTATTTTTTATTTTTATTTTATTATTTTTTATAGGTCAAAAATTATTTATTGAAAGAATGAGTTTCCTAAAGCAAAATCAAGAAGCATCAACTAATTCTTATCAGAATTTATACAGGAGTGCACATTTTTACTACACATGTTTATTCCAGAAGCTGAGATTTTAAAATGTCCTTCAAAAACCATTTTCACCTGCCTAAATTTTTGTTTTTTAAGTACACACCTTAGGCCATCATCCTTGGGCATGTGTGTGTGCACATATGTATCAGGGTATTGAGAACTAGCGTCTTAAAGAGTTTAGCCCTCAAAGGATCCTTGAATATCATAAAATTGAATCTTTTTAGTCTGAAAAGGCTGCTGTTAGGAAAGCAACGTGCTTTTTCAGTCAATGGCAAATAATACTGAGCCAGATGGATTGATTATGTATAACAATTGTTTTTTCCCAGTACCCACACAGACATGGCTTAAATGATGATAAGTCATAGGCAAGATAGGAAAAAATTTTGAAGGTTAGATTCCGGATTTTCTTAGTAGACATTTGTTGTTTTCAAATTCCTAAAATTGTTCAAACCCTGAAAAATCCTTTTCCCAATGTTTGCCCATACTGCCTCTTAAAATAATTGGGTTCCTAATATTATTTTCTTTTGATCTTGCCTCACTCAAGTCTTCTTCCAGCCATTTTCGAGCAGAGTCCTTCTTAATATCTTTATTCTTTTTAATGTCACCCCCCCCCCCCATCGTAATTGCTCTGATCTGGCTCTTTTCCAATTTGTTTTATATTTTATGAGGTAAATCAGTCAGAACTACACTCAGGTTTGAGTACACCATAGCCTTGCATGAAGGTAAAATGCGGTGGTCTTTAGTTTCCAATGTCTTTCTTCATTTCATGGCTTCCCAATATTTTGGTGGTTTCTTCATCTGAAGCAAACTAAAGTCCTCACTGAAGTCTACCGATCTCCTTTCTAGATTAAGAACTATAGCTTTTCATTATAAAAGCAACATACATTTCATTACAAAAGCAATATAAAAGCATATAAGTATTTTAGAGAAAAATCGGAAACTAAAAGTAAAAAGAGAAGCATTTTTCATAATCAACCTTTTTTGTATTTTGGTATACTTATAGTCTTTTTTTCTCTCTGTATAATCTTTTTATATACTAGTACGCATTTACATCTTTCTTAAATTTTACTTTAGAGAAACATTTTCCACATTTTAAATGCATTATAAAAGTTATTAATAACTGCATAGGATTTGGTGAATGAATATATTCCTAATTCACTTACCCGTTAATTCCCATGTTATTGAAAAGACTTTCATATTGTATGTAGTTTTTGTCATTTTCGAAGATCCCGTCCTCATGTTGGCAAGGTGTTTTGTTTTTAATATCATATTCCTGGGTACTATGATTAAATATTCATGAAGGTTAAAATATTTTGGCTAATAACCATCATCAAACAGACATCTCTCTTTTTTTTTTTTTAAATGCCTACAGCACCTGGTATTCCAAGGTGGTCTCCTATCCAAGAACTAACCAGGCCCAACCCTGCTTAAGATTCCGAGATCAGACGAGATTGGGCATGTTCAGGGTAGCATAGCCATAGACCAGACATCTCTTTATTTATATTTCTTTATGGAATCTAATGACTTGGGAATTGTTTTCTTAAAGAAATTTTCTTCCTCAGATTGTGTTGGTACAATATGATGCTTAAGTGTTATTTCTCAAGATATTTTCCCTTAGTAGTAGGAAGGTAACATTGATCTCATAGCCATTTCTCCTTGGCCACTATTTCCTTTTATCCCATCGTATGTGTGTGTACACAGCTTTTATTTGAATTGTATGTTGTCCTCCTGAGTGATGTAGTTGCAGTCTCATGTGCTCTAAGCATAGTAAATATTAATTTAATAATGATGCAGCTTTACTTAGGAAAGTTTTTAAGAATAATGGTAGCTTGCCAGTAATATAATATATTAGTATTCAGCATATACTCAGTGGAATAGTCTCTCCACAGTGATATCTAAACTTTTTGTTTCTCCTTCCATTTCCAGGTTGCCATCACGAAAGCCAAAGTGGATTTCTCCAGTGTTGTGTGTCTGCCCCCTTCCGTCATTGCTGTTAATGGGCTGGACGGAGGAGGGGCTGGCGAGAATGATGACGAACCAGTGCTGGTGTCCTTGTCTGCGGCCCCCAGCCCCCAGAGCGAAGCTGTTGCCAATGAGCTGCAGGAGCTGTCCTTGCAGCCCGAGCTGACCCTAGGCCTCCACCCTGGCAGAAATCCCAATTTGCCTCCACTTAGTGAGCGGAAGAATGGTGAGTAGATAATCTTACTATTTCTTCTAAAATAGAGAAATAGTAAGTTCAGGTGATCATTATAAACCCAACATTTTCTGCCCGGGTTATAATTGCTTTCTAATTTGTCTTCCTACTTCTTTGCTTCTCCTTCTCAACCCCTTCCATGTATTCACTAATTCAGCCAATATTTATTGAGCATCAATGTATTATAAACTGCTAAGATTAGGGATTAAATGGTAAAAGGCCTCTGTCATTAGATAATTTACCTTATTCTACACTTTGTCAGAGAAATCTAAAACTCTCTAGCTTAATACTTTTCACTGACCGCCCAATGGGATATAAACAAAAGCAAAATAAATTTCTGGACATGTTTTACAAGGCTTCGCAGGAAACGATACCTTTCTTTTAGCTTCTTCTCTTATCATTCCTCCATTCCTAGTCTTTGCTACAGCCTGTTAACTATTTTTAGTACTATTTATAAACCATGCACACTTACCTCAAACTTCTGTTAATTTAAAAAAATTTATAATTGGTTATGAAATATTTAAGATTTCAAAAAAGGTATAAAGAGTAATAGAGCAAATACGGCTCTGTACTCAAATACCACTGGTCTCATGTCCTCGCCATGGATCTCCACCCATCCCCAGAGGTAACTAGTGCCCTGAGTTTGGTATTGCATTGCAAAGTGTTTTTTTTTTTAACATATGAATATATTCCTAAACAGTATATAATATCGTTTCTTATTTTTAAACGCATATAAATTATATATTGAGAGAGAACTGTATTGTATATATTCTGCAACATCTGTTTATTGTTCAGTATTTATTTTCCCTGTTATTAAATATCGTCTATATTTCGTCTAATCTATGAATCCTGTTTTTCCCTACTGATCCTTAATGCCAGCCTTACTGTTTCTCTGTGTGTAGTTTTTAGGCTGTCTTGTTTCACTGGTCTCTACTCATCTCTGTGTTGTACTACATCATCTTAGTTATTATTGCTTAATAATTAGCCTTTCTATCTTTTAGGCTGGGTCTCTCCTTGCCTTTTTCTTCTTCAAAATTGTTTTGGTTATTCTCACCCTTTTAATTTTCCATAATTTTTGAGTCAGCTTGTGAGGTTCTGCCGAAAAAACAAAACAAACAAAAAAAAAAACATTGGAATTTTTTTTTAACATTTTACTATTGAAAAATTTCAAGCATATGATAAAGTAGAAAAACTTTTACGACGAACACTTTTATGTCCACTTCTTAGTTCTACCATTAACTTTTATACTACTTGCTTTATAATAAAGCTGTCTATCCTCCATCACCTTGTCTGTCCATCAATCCATCTTTTTTTTTGGAAGCATTGCAGACACCAGTATACTTCCATTTTATTGAAGTAGAACTTTAATACAGAATAACATAAATTGTAAATGTCCTGGTGGTTGACTTATCACAGAGTGAATGTACTTGTGTGTAATTACTACTTAGTGTAGAAATAAAACATCACGAGCACCCCACAACCACCCCTTTTGTTTCTTCCCAATCAGTACTCCCTCTTCCTGCCTGAAGGAAACTACCATCCTGATTTTTAATGCCATAGGTTAATTTTGCTTGTTTCTAAACTTTATACAAATGGAATCATGCTGTATGCATTTTGTTGGTGGATCCCTTGATGTTTTTGAAATTCTTTGTATTGAATTGTGTGTGGCTGCAGTTTATTTTCACTGCTGTATAATCAGTCCATTTTATGAATATGCTGCAATTTGTCCTTTTTTCTTTTGATGACTATTAGGGTGGTTTTAGTTTGGAACAATTATGAATCATGATGTTATGACATTTTTGTACATGTCTTTTGGTGTACTTGTTGGGATTTTGATTTGAAATATATCATTTATAGGTTAATGAGGAGAATATGTATTTTAAATATTGGGGCTTTCTGTCCATTAGTTAGTTTTCTCTCTTCAATTAAATAGGCTTCCTTTAATGTCTTTCCATAGAGTTTTATAATTTTCTTCATAAAGGTCATGCAAATATTTTATTAGATTTATTTCCAGTGTCTTTTTTTTTTTTTTTTTGGTGGATAAGTGGTATATTTTTTTATAAGATATTTTTTTGACTGATGCTGGGGGATTGAAATATCGAACCTTTTCAGAACTCCAGTGGCTTTTCAACATCTGTGCGACTGCTTGGTATAGACCCCTTTCTTGCTGACTCTTGTTCAGGCACCATTCCCTTTGAGAAGCCTGTCCTAAATCATGTGCAGTGTTAGGTGTTTCTCTTTTGGTTTGTCCAATTGTCCTTTATCATAGTACTTTATCACCCTGTATTTTAATTGCAAGTCTTCACTCTGCAACATGAGTGAGCCTTTGAAAACTGAAAACATACCTTGTTATACTCCTGTCAAAACCCTTCAGTGTCTTCCTGTAAGGCTTATGATGAAATCATAGTTCCTACAACGTGGCTTTGGTATCCTCTCTGACCTTACCTCTGTACCCTAGCTTACTCTACTCTGCTTCAGCCACACTGACTTTCTTGCTGTTTCTTGAACACATCAAGTATGCTTCTGTTCCAGGGCCTTGGTCCTTGCTGTGCCTTTACTGAAGTTCCTGCACAAATGTCTGTTCCTCAGAGAGGCCTCTTCTGTCAATCTTATCTAAAATAGCACCTCCCATTACTCTGTTCAGCTTTCTTTTTCTTTCAAGCAGCTATTATGATCTCTCTGTGCATGTACGTATGTATGTGTACGTTAATTTTGTTCACGGGTGTATATCCAACTCTGGCTTATAGTGGGAACCCAGTAAATATTTGTTGAGTGAATAAATGAACGGTTTACTTGTTTGTCTCACTAGAGGGAAGAAATCTGGTTTTACATCTATAGTGGGAATAGTAATGGAAACACAAGCAGTCTTTGTTTTGGGAAATAGTGGATACTCAAGCAGTTTTCTGTGTGTTCTTTTTCCATTTCTAATTTCTACTCCCCCCTTCCCCCCAGATGGCAGAGCATTAAGCTTATGTATCTGTTAAGGGGAAAG